AGACAGGGTAGAAGCTTACAGCAGAGTGGTGCCACCATGCTTCTGACAGGTGGCTATTGCCCGTCCCTCACCTTCGGCCCAGTTATACCCTCCTGGGTGCCTGGGCGAGGCAGCTATCAGTGTTAACAATCACTGTCTGGCTTCTGCTTGACTGTGACAGAGAAGTGACGGGAGGGCCCCAGTCCTCCCCACCCTTCCCCTGTTGAGGAGGGGAGAGCTATATCAGGAACAGGTGACATTTCAAAGTGCATCATAGAAGGAAGCGCCAGCCAAGAGGGAGTTACTCACCATCTGCTCTGCTCCCTCCACCGGGGGCGAAGCCCCTTACTTACCACCCATGGAAGACGCAGAGAAAAGGAATCCACCATCACTAACATCAAAGAGCCCAAATGCTCTATTTCATTTATTTGTTTATTTTTAGTTTGCTATTAGGAACTCACAGGAGACAGAGGGAAAATGAGAAATCACTCCTGGAGGGATGGCCACACCACAATCGCCTCTCGTCCAATTTACCCTCGGGATTTTGGGTATGCACACACACATGCCACACACATGCCTGGCATGCGTCTCAAGCTGCCGGATTCGGGACTCAAACCATGCAGTCAGCCATGTGGGGTTCAGCTGACTTAACCCCCACGCCACCGCTGGCCCCCAAATACTCCATTTTAAAACAGAAGATGTTCGAAGGGCAAGTTGTCCAGGAGCATAGCCTGTAAAAGGGACCCAAGTGTGGAGATGACTGGCAATTGGCTTCTGAGAGCAAGGGCCGAGATTTCAAGACAATCTCAACAGGAGTTTAAGAGACACATAACTGACCATGTCTGAATCTAAGCGATATTAAATGAAGACCTCCCCCACCATCCACAAGCCTAACCATGAATTCATCGTGCCAGACAGAGGAGATACACTTTTCATCATTTTTTCTTAAAGAGAGATTTTTGCTATAGGGCATGTACACTTGCCAGAGAGACAGAGAGACAGAAGAAATCACCCCCGGGAGGATGGCCACACTGCAATCCCTTCTCCTCCAGTCTCCTCTTGGGATTTTAGGCATGCATACACAAGCATCCCGTGTGAGTTTCAAGCTGCCAGGTCCAGACTCGGACCACAGTTGACCATGTGGGATGGGAGTCCAGCAACATAACAACTACACCATCTGCTGGTCCCTACTGTTCATCTTTTAAATGCTATTGTTGGGGTGGCTGGTTAGCATGGGAGTTGGGGCAGCTAGATCCCAAATGGCCTGCTGTGCAGTTCAAATACCAGACCTGGCAGCTTGAAAAACACGACAGGCCCCATGTACAGGCAGGTGCAAGGTCACAAAAGGAAAAGATGAAGGCTAAGGGGTTGCAGTATGACTGATCCCCATGAGGGGTGCTTTTTCAGGCCCCGCTGTCTCTCTTTCAGTGAGGTCATGTACCCTCTGGCAAAAAAATTTTAATGCTATTTTTCACTTGGCCATAACTCCTGATAATCTAGAAACATATTCCCAGGTACAAGGCCTCCTTCCCTAAACTCCCAATTTTTAAAAAATTTTTTCAGATTTCTGCTATAGGGCACATGCATTCACCGGAAAAACAGAAAGAGACAGAGAGACAGAAAGCAAGAAATCACTTCCTAGGGGTATCGCTGCAATACCTCCTCCTCCATTCTCTTCTCAAGATTTTGGGCATGCACACACATGCATCTGGAGTGAGTTTTAAGCATTGGATCCAGGATTCAAACTGCAGTTGACTACATGGGAAGACAGTGACATAACCATTACACCATCTGCTGGCCCAAACTCCCCAATCTTTAGCTTCCTGTCATTTGGGGCTATTGGCCACATCCCCAACTTTTAGATGGTCTCTGCCACTCTCGCACTCATTCACACAGAATGACAGTTCTTCTTTAAAAAGTTGGGACCAGCAGTTGCATAATGGCTATGTTGCTGGACTCCCACATAGTCGACTGCAGTTCGAATCCTAGACCCGGTGGCTTAAACTCATGCTGGGCACATGTACGTGCGTGCCCAAGATCCCAAGAGGAGAATGGAGAAGGGATTGCAGTGTGGCCATCCCCCCCGGTGATTTTTCGCTTTCTGTCTTTTTGGCAAGTGCATGCGCTCTATAGCAAAATCCTCTCCAAAAAAAAAAAAAATTTTTTTTTCCCTAGGGCATGTGTGCTTGCTGGATAGAGACAGAGAGAAAATGAGAAATCACCCCCCACTCCAGGAGGGATGACCACACTGTAATTCCTTTTCCTCCATTCTTGGCATTTTGGGGCATTTATGTACATGAACTTTTCAAGTCATCAAGTCCAGGATTTGAACTGCAGAGTCGGCTATGTAGGACATGGCCACCTTAACCTCCATGCCATCTGCTGGCTCCACAGTTTCAGTTCTAAAGTCAAAGCCCAAGGGTCTCTGCAGCTGTAGTGAGGCAGGAAGCGTGAAAGAAACTGTAACTGTGACAAGACAGGACAAGGCCAGGAGAGGTCAGCTCCAGAAGCTTCCACAAGTTCTGCCCTCTACTAGGTAAGGATGGCCTGACTTGTGACTCTGCCCCAACTCCCTCACCTTTTCTGGACACACCTGGACGCCGCCATCTGCCAGATTAGTAAAGCCAGGCTGTGTCAGGTCGCACAGCAAGCCCGAAGTCCACATGGCAACCTGGGATTGCTTCTGCCTTTTAGAACAACTGACTCTCCATCTGTTCGCTCAGACTCTCACGTGGCTCCCGGCAGAGAAGGGGATGGATGAATGAAGGCTGGGGTTGCAGGCTGGGCTTCAGCAGGCACTTGCATGCCACGCTTGCACTGAGGCTGTGTGAGCTGTTAGCAATCAAACCACCACCGCCACCCCCACACCAGCAGCAGCCAAACCCTCCCCTTCTCCCTACCCCCCTGCCTAAGGCTCCCCAGGAAAGCTACTGAAACCTGGACCTCCACCAATGTCGTAGCTTACCACCTGAGAGGGCCTAGAATCAAAATAAAGTAACACAATGCAAAAATTAGAAACACTATTTATTGTTTTCTATTAAAATAGGGCGCTCTCGTAAGAAAAGAGTGTGCAAAGAGTCTTCCCTCCCCTTCTCCCTACCCCCCTGCCTAAGGCTCCCCAGGAAAGCTACTGAAACCTGGACCTCCACCAATGTCGTAGCTTACCACCTGAGAGGGCCTAGAATCAAAATAAAGTAACACAATGCAAAAATTAGAAACACTATTTATTGTTTTCTATTAAAATAGGGCGCTCTCGTAAGAAAAGAGTGTGCAAAGAGTCTTCCTACACCCTGGACTTCCTCACTTACCCTAGCAGGCTGGGACTGTTGTCACTGTGGAGGAGGGAATGTTTTCCACCCACTCCTGGGAAACTCCGTTACTCTTGTCTTACTTCTGATTACTTTCATGTGTTTAAAAAAAAAGTCCAAATCCAACCATTGACAGGCTCTCTGTTGCTAGGCATAGATGCCCAGTCCACCTGGACAGACAGATGCGGGCCTCAGGTCCACATCGCCACACGCAGCCCAGGCTGAGGTGCACCCTGGAAATCAGGCAGGTGTGCCCCCAGCTAACGGCTGAAGATGACCCCGGCTCCTGACCCGCTGCCTGGAAGCATGCATGGTGCCGCTGGCGTGAGGCTGGGGTCACTTTGCGAGGAGCGTCCTGGGACATGGCAGGGCCAGCAGTGGCGGGTAGGCAGCAGTCCGGGCACAGGGGCTACCTGGTCTAGAAGCTACATATTTCATCTCTAAATCCTCTTCAGATCCCTTCATTGACAAGAGTGAATTCAAGTTTCGAAACAGCACACCAAGTTCTACAAGGTAGAGGTGTCATTAAGGCCACGGTCTCCCCAAGTCCATGCACAGAGCTCTGATCCCATCGTCCCCCTTCCCTCACCCTTCAGGATGCCCTAGTCCTGCCCACTGCTCCTCCTCGGTGTCAGCCTCCAACATCCGGAAGCTCTGAGCAGCCTTCGGCCTCACAAGTTGGGAACGGCCCAATTAAGGAACTTCATGGCAACTTCAAAGCCAAGGAAGCAGGCCTGAGAAGGGGTTGGGGGAAGAGAAAGGCCAGCAGGAGAGTGATTATTTGTAGGTCTTCACACCCTCCCTGCACTGTGCTGGGCTGACCCTGTCAGGACCAGAACCCCTCCCTAACCCCACTGCCTCCCCAGCCAAGGAGACAGGCTGGTCTCTCATTCCTCAGAGGAGAAGAAAATGCCTGTCCTGTGACTGCCCCCTTGTGAAGGCCAGGACAGGAAATCAAAGCCTCTCTCACCAAGTCCAAAGGCAAATCTTCCTGACAGCTTCAGGAACGGGGGCGAATAAGGAGGCTCTGGCTAAGGGTGAGGTTTTGGGAAAACTGAGTCCTGAATCCAATCCCAGGAGCAAGCAGACAACAGTCCGATGCATCCTGCTGAGCCCCACAGGGAAAGCACAGCCCCCAGCAGCTACTCACAGCATTGGCTGGGAAGGCCCGGATCATCACTGCGTTGAACCCCTTGTACAAGGACGTGACGCCCTCGTTCTGGATCAGCTCCCTCAGCACGTCTCTGAAACCATTAGGATATTTCCCAGGTGGTGCTGTGGGAAAGAACCCAACTGTCAAAGCTTCAGGAAGCTTCTTGACCGGACCACGGCAACCTGCACGGTGACGACCGAGTAGTTACGTTTTCCCACAGGGTCAGGACCAGCAGGGGGTCGGGGACTCCTGGCAGGTCACCCTGGACCAGTCCACAGACAACACGGGTCACCCTGGGACAGAAGAACAAGTGCCTGGGTCCTCAGAGCCAAGGGAGCAGAAAAGAGGGCTGAGAAATAAAACAGCCCTTCTCTTCACGTGGGCGAGGGAGAGTGGAGACGCAGTGACCTCTGAGCTCTCCTTGTGATCAGACCCTACGAAAGTGAACCCAGGGTTCCCCGGACACAAACGATAGTGAGGGAGGGTACCCCTAGGGCCTCACGTGCTCGGCAGCCCAGCAGTGGTCAGGACCGGGACCCTGTCCAGAGCCACCCCCCACCCCACCCTCCACTCACCAGTCTGGAAGCGGGACTTGAGCACATCTGGGGGGATTGCCACAGCCCAGTTGAAGATCCCTGCGATGCCCCCAGCCACCAGGATCCGAGGTGCACTAAGTTCACTGACACTGCAGAACACCAAGCACAGCCCCAGTCAGATGGAGGCCGAAGGTGGTGGTCAGCCCTCCCTCCTGAGTGGACCGGCCAGCTAGAGGGAGGCAGCGCCTGGCTGCAGGGAGGAGGCCCGAGCTGGGCAGCTGCTGTTCCTCATAGGAGGTTTTAGGCCTTGTTTCAGGTGCACGCTCCACTGGGTGAGCCAGAGAGAAAAGAGTTAGGGCCCTTGGCAGCTGCAGGAGGAAAGCAGACCCATTCACAGGAGGGGCAACGTGGCTGTAAGTCCTTCTGTCCTCCTCACCTCTTGCCCTCTGGAGTGAAGATATTTTTCAGCCACTCATATGTCATGAAATACATCCCACTGGCTGGAACGTCTGTTAGTGGCAAGAAACAGGTGTGTTAAGGTATATTAAATTTCCCGTGATGTCTTTCCTCTTTCTTTCCCTGTTTATTTATTTATTTATTTATTTTTAAGTAGTATTTTATTCAATTTTATTCATTCATTCATTTATTTTAATTTGACCAGAGAGAGACAGAGAGAGAGAGGAAAGTGAGAAAGCAAGCCACCAGGTCCAGGACTTGAACCACGGTCAGCCATGTGGGAGTGTCCAATGTCTTAACCACCACGCCACCTGCCGGTCCCTATCCCTGTTTATTTTCACTTAGACAAGGTCTCATATGTCGCAGTCCTGCCTCGGCCTCCTGGGCAGTCAGGACCACAGGCACGCACCTATGCCAGCTTCCCCACACATTCTCTTCGTTGTTTTGTTTAATTTGCCACAGGATGCGTGCACTCAGTGGAGAAAGACAAAGAGAGGGCGAAAAGAGGGTGAGAGGGAAAGTGAGAAACCACCCCTGGGGGGGAATGACCACTCCATAATCCCTTCTCATTCTTTTGGGATTCGGGGCACACGTGCACAAATGCCTGGCATGTTTTTCAAGTCACTGGGTCCAGGACTCAAACCACATAGCCAGCCACGTGGAATCTAGCTGCCTTAACCACCACACCACTGGCTGGAGCCCCCCCACTTACTTTTTTTTTCTTTTTGTTTGGTTATAAACAACTTAAAAAAAAAAAGAATGATTTTATTTATTATTATTTTAATTTGCTACAGGGCACTCACATTCACCAGAAAGAGACACACAGAGAGAGAGGGAGAGATAAAGTATGAAAGCAAGCCGCCAGGTCTGGGACTCAAACCGCAGTCAGGGATGTGGGAGTCCAGTGCCTTTAAACACCATGCCACCTGCTGGCCCCCCGAAGTCACTATTTCCTCCCACTTGTCCCTCCAGCCCTGCTCTCTATCTGCCCGTGATGCCCCTCCAACCACTGTCGTGACGTTCACCCACAGACACTCAGGGAAGACGGAATGTGCCCTATCCTCATTGATGTCCCTCTGTGGCAGAGCCATCTTGGTTGGGCTCCTCAAGCAACCTGAGGTGGAGAGCCCCAAAGCTTACCTCGCATGAGGGTGAGCACAGTCCCTTTGTAGATGCCTCGGATCCCAGACTCCTGGTACAGCTTCTTCGCACAGTCCAAGGCCCCAGCGTACTTGGTTTCCCCGGAAGAAGCCTGAATCTGGGAGGGAAAGGAGTGTCATTCAGTCCGAAACAACAGCGCCCGTCAACAGACCCAGCAGGTTCCAGGAGACTAGGAAGTGAAAAAGGAAGTGGTCGTTACGTGTTAGACCAAGAGCTCCCTATCAAATCCTCACGTCTTTGAGACATGCCCTGCTGGGGAACGTGCTATGAAGTAAGACTAGGTGAAAATAACAAAATACACACGTAACAGACGAGAAATCGAATCAACTGAAAAGGCTGACAGTAAGGTGAGGAAATCTAAAGACAAAAGCATTCCCAACAAAGCTAGGGAAAAAGACAAATCTGTTAGTCATTTGCTTATTTCTCTAAAAAATATCCAGTGAGCACTAACTCCATTCCACGCCTAGCTGGCCATGAGGCTTGGTTAAGAAAAAGTAAAATGAGGGCAGGGGCAGCAGGTGGCATGGCAGTTAAGGCACTAGCTTCCATATGGCCAGCTCTGTGGTTCGAGTCTCAGACTCAGCGTCTGGAGAGACAACAGGTGCATGTGCACCCAATATCCCAGTGGGAGAACGGAAGAGAAGGGACTGTGGCATGGCCAACCTTCTGGAAGGTGATTTCTTACTTTTCCCCTGTCTCTTTCTGTGTCTCTGTCTCTCTGGTGAGCACATATGCCATGAGGCAAAACACCTAAAAAAAAAAAAAAAGAAAAAAAGAAAAAGAAAAAGAAAAATCCTGTTAGAAAATGACCAAAACACACAAAATTTCACCAAAGAGGATACATGAGTGGCAAATGAACACATGAAAATATACTGAACGTGTTTAGCTATTAGGAAAATACAAGGTATTTTATATATACCTATCAGAATGGCTAACATAAAAAAAAAAAAAAAACAGTGATAGGCAGAGCACAGTGGCATGTGCCTATAATCCCAGAAACTCAAGAAGCTGAAGAGAACCACGAGTTCAAAGCCAGCCCGAGGAACATGGTGAGATCCTTTTTTTTTGGAGAGGTTTTTGCTATAGGGCGCATGCGCTTGCCAGATAGACAGAGAGAGACATAGAGACAGAAAGTGAGAAATCACCCCCCAGAGGGGATGGTCACGCTGCAATCCCTTCTCCTCCATTCTCCTCTCGGGATCTTGGGCACGCACGCACATGCGCCCGGTGTGAGTTTTAAGCCACCGGGTCCGGGACGCGAACCGCAGTCGACTACATGGGAGTCCAGCGACATGGCCATTACGCTAACTGCTGGTTCCCATGAGATCCTTTTTCAAAAAATAAAATAATAATGGTAACACCAAAAGGTGGTAAGGATGCGGAGAGACTACTCAGACGTTGCTGGTAGTAATGTAAACTGTACAGTTTGGGGGCCAGCCTGTGGTGTGGTAGTTAAGGAGTCTGGATTCCCGAAGGCCAACTGTGTGGTTTGAGTTCTGGACCTAGAGGCTTGAAAAATACACCAAACATGGGAACCAGCAGTTAGCGTAATGGCTATGTCGCTGGACTCCCACGTAGTCGACCGCGGTTCGCGTCCCGGACCCAGTGGCTAAAACTCACGCCGGGCGCGTGTGCGTGCGTGCCCAAGATCCCGACAGGAGAATGGAGGAGAAGGGATTGCGGCGTGACCATCCCCCCTGGGGGGTGATTTCTCGCTTTCTGTCTCTATGTCTCTCTCTGTCTGTCTGGCGAGCGCACGCGCCCTAAAGCGAAAAATCCTCTCTAAAAAAAAAAAAAAAATACAGCAAACACACGAGCGTGCATGCCCAAAATCCCGAAAGGAGAGAGAAATGGGAGAGAAGGGACTGTGGCATAACCATTCCCCATGAAAGGTGCTTTCTCACCTTCTTCTCTTTGTCTCTCTCTGGAGAGCACATACACACTCTTATAAAATTATATAAATAAAGATAAACAAATAAAACAGTTTGGTAGTTTCTTTAAAGACTAAAGATACAGTTACCATACACTCCTGGGCATTTTTCCCCAGGAAATGAAGGCTTCCTTTTTTTTTTTTCCCATAAAAATCTAGGCATACAAATGTTTATAGCATTTACTTATAATAGTGCTGAACTAGAAACAACACAGATGTCCAGACTGTACCGGAACGTTACACTGTGAGACAACCATATTATAAATATTCAGCAATAAAAAAATAGTGAACCACTCATCCATGCAACAATCTAAATGACTCTCTCGAAAATTACACTGTGGGGCCAGCAGGTGGCGTGGTGGTTAAGGGTGCGGGACTCCCACATGGTGGAACACAGTTCAAGGCCCAGACCTGGCAGCTTCCTTTCTCACTCACTTAAATACATTCTCTCTCTCTCCCTCATTGTGTCTCTCTCTGGCCAAATTAAACTAAGTAAATGAATAAAGTTAAATAATTCTTTAAAAAAAAAAACAAAAGAAAATCATACTGCATTAAAAAACCCCAATCCAGGGGTCAGCACAGTTTCAGTCCTGGACCTGGTAGTTAGAAAATCACACAGAGGGGATCTGCAGATGGCATGGTGGTTAAGGGTGCTGGTCTCCCACATGGCTGACCGTGGTTCGAGTACTGGACCTGGCTGCTTGTTTTCTCACATTTTTCCCCTCTCTCACTCTGTCCCTCTCTGGTTGAATTAAAATGGATAAATAAATAAATAATAAAATAAAGTTAAATTAAAAAAATAATTCTAGAAGATCACATGGAGTACATGTGTGTGCATGCCTAAAATCCCAAGAGGAGAATGAAAGAGAAGGGACTGTGGTGTGGCCATCCCCTTGGGGGCTGATTTCTCACTTTCCTTCCTGCTGTCTCTCCCTGCCTCTCTCTGGTGAGCACACATGCCCTTATGAGGAAAAAAAAAGCCAAACCTAAACTTTACAATATTATATGATTCCATTTATATTAGGTACTTCAAAATGTTCATGGAAAAATGAAATTAAAGTATGAGTTTAGGGACTGGTAGGTGGTATGTGGTATGTGGGCACTGGACTCCCACATGGCTGACTGAGATTCAAGTCCTAGACCTCGTGCCTTGCTTTCTTACTTTCCTTCTGTCTGTTTTTCTCTGGTCAAATTTAAAAAATAATAATAATGATAAAATAAATTTTTTAGAGGGTTTTAGCCTTAGGGCACATGTGCTTGCTGGAGAAAGACAGAGACAATAAGAAAGAAAGTAAGAAATAACCCCCCCAGGGGATGGCCACACCACAATCCCTTCTCCTCCATTCTCCTCTCAGGATCTTGGGCACACACACATATGTGCCTAGCGTGAGTTTAAGCCACAGGGTCCGGGACTCGAACTGCGGTCGACTATATGGGAGTCCAGTGACATAGCCATCATAGCCATTATGTCAACTTCTGGTCTCCCAGTGAAATAATTCTTTAAAAAAAAAAGGGACCAGTAGGTGGTGTGGTGGTTAAGGTGCTGAACACTCACATAGCCAACTATTGTTTGAGTCCTGAACCTGGTGGCTTGCTTTTTCACTTTCCTTTTCTCTGTCTGTCTCTGGTTAAATTAAAAAATAATAATAATAACAAATGGAATTAAACAGTCTTTTTTGGGGGGAGAGGCTTTTGCTATAGGGCATGTGTGTTCGCCAGAAAGACAGGGACAGAGAGACAGAAAGCAAGACATCATCCCCCAGAGGAGATGCCCATGCCATAATCCCTACTCCTCCATTCTCCTCTTGGGATCTTGGGCACGCATGCACTCGTGCCCGGTGTGAGTTTAAGCCACCAGGTCTGGGACTTGAACCGTGGTCGACTATGTGGGAGTCCAATGACAATGTCCAGCCACTACGACAACTGCTGGTCCCATCCCTTTTAAGTTTTTGCTATAGGGTGCATGTGCTCGCTGGAGAGAGAGAGAGAGACAGAGAGACAGAGAGAGAGAAAGAAAAAGTGTGTCACCCAAGGGGATGGCTACAATCCCTTCTCTATTCTTCTCTTGGGATTTTGGGCCCACAAGCACAGGAGGCATTTTTTTTTTTTTTAATTTTTAAGATTTTTGCAGTAGGGCACTTATGCTTGCTGGAGAGAAAGACAGAGACAGAGAAAAGTGAGAAGTAACCCCCTTGGGGGTGGCCATGCTGCAATCCCCTCTCCTCCTGGGATTTTAGGCATGCACCCAGAGAAATTCCCAAGCTGCAGGTCTTGGACTCAAACTGCAATGAGTCATGTGGGAGTCCAATGCTCTGACCACCACGCCACCTGCTGGCCCCGCCAGTATGTTTTTCATGGATTCAGACCATGCAGTTGGCCATGTGGGATCCAGCCACCTCAACCACCACACCACCGAATGGCTCTAGTTTTTTCATAATACATATTTTCCATGACCTTTTTAAAGACTCCTCATATAGCATTCTTGAAGTTACAAAGTTAAAGAAATAGAATACACTCTAAAGGGCACTGAGCTTTGGGGCAATTAATAGACATGAGGCATCTTGGGCAGGAACAGCCTCCCTTCAATGTCCACTGAGACATGACTCACCTGCCAGAGTTCCAGAAGTGGGTAGGTCTGGGCTGATGTGTCACTGTTGGTGACATTTTTGTTGGTTTGTTATCCTATCCTGGTTCTTGATACTCCTACCCTGGCTTCCATGTTCCTGAAAACCTTGAAACGTTTGCACACCTGACCTGAAGCCTTTATAAAGGGTAAAAGGACATAAGCACGCACACTGAGGTGCACACTCTAAGCACTAGCCACCTCCCCCCCCAGAGCACCCTCACCTGTAACAGGCACTTGATTCGTTCTCCAGGGGTCATGATTCCTGTGGTGAATACGCCAGATAACATCCCAGCAGCAAAGATCTGGGGGTAGCTACGTGGAAAACAAAAGCCAGAGGCAAGCAACTGTGATTAATCCCCCAGGACAGGCGCAGGCCCAGCAAAGAGGATGGTTTTATAAGAAACAGTAAGGGGGGCCAGCAGGTGGCATGGTAGATAGAGGCACTAGATTCCTACATGGCCAACTGTGGTTCGAGTCACAGACCTGGTGGCTTGCTATCTTACTTTCTCTCTCTCTCTGTCTCTCTCTGGTCAAATTAAAAACAATAATAACAAATGGAACTAAATAAGTAAATAAATAAAGAATTCTTACAAAAAGAAAGAAAGAAAGAAACAGTAAGGGGACCAGCAGATGGTGTAGTTACGCTGCTGGACTCCCACGTAGTCGACTGTGGTTCAAGTCCTAGGCCTGGTGGCTTAGAATTGACGCTAGACGCATATGTGCACCCTGAGAGGAGAATGGATTGCAGTGTGACCATCCCCCTGGGGAGTGGCTTCTTGCTTTTTGTCTCTTTGTCTCTCCAGTAAGAGCATGCACCTTATAGCAAAAATCTCTTAAAAAAAGAAAAGAGAAGAAAAGAAGAGGAAAGAAAAAAGAAAAGAAAAGAAAGAAAAGAAAAGAAAAGAAAAGAGAAAAGAAAAGAAAAGAAACAGTAAGTATGTGGACTGGCAGAAGCCCAGCTACGATAGATCAGATTTGACACAAAAGTCAGGTCCTGGGAACCAGCAGTTAGCGTAATGGCTATGTCGCTGGACTCCCACATAGTTGACCGCGGTTCGTGTTCCGGACCCGGTGGCTTAAAACTCACACCGGGCGCGTGTGCGTGAGTGTCCAAGATCCTGAGAGGAGAATGGAGGAGAAGGGATTGCGGCGTGACCATCCCCCCGGGGGGGTGATTTCTCGCTTTCTGTCTCTATGTCTCTCTCTGTCTGTCTGGCGAGCGCACGCGCCCTACAGCGAAAATCTCTCCAAAAAAAAAAAAGTCAGGTCCTCTGTATTTTCGGATGTCAAGCAAGGGTCTCAGAGCCAAAAGCAATGGGAACCTGGCACCAAGGCCCCCCTGCCATTAGGTGCACACTTAGAATCTCCGACCCACAGGAGAATCTTTATAAGGAGACATGGTTTCCACTCCTGGCCTGCACTGCACTGACTATCGACAAGTTTCCAGATGGGAAGAGTGGGGTGTGTTGTTCTCATGGGGAGTTTATTGTAGCTGGGGCCAGCAGTGTGGACTGGACTGAAAAGCTGACAGCATAGGAACGCATGTAAAATGCTGGTTGTTGGGGGGAAAAGCCTCTAACCCAAGATCTGAGTGTTAGCCAATTCCAGTTTCCCACCAATCTCACTTCCCCTGGATCACGAAGGGCCCAAGAATATTCTTTTCTTCGTAGACTTATTCATTTTATTTATCACTATTATTTTTTCAATTTTATCTAAGAGTGACAGAGAGAAAGAAGGCAAGCCACCAGGTCAGGGACTCAAACCGTGGCTGGCCACATGGGAGTCCAGCACGCTCACCACCACACGACCTCCAGCCCCGGGCCTAAGAATATTCTAAGCTAAGACTCCAGTGGGACAGCTTCAAGGCTGGGGCTTCAGAATGGCTGTGGTCACCTCTGCAGGCTGCGGGGTAGCCAGGTCACTTGTAAGGACTGTGCTGTACCGTGCTGACAGAAGCCCAGACCGGGATGGTACCGCGGTGTGGGTCATCACTGGCCCCCTCAGAATGAACAGGTTGGAAGAGGAGTCCGAGAAGCTCCTGACATCTATCACCCACAGCAATGGTGCCACCTCCGGCACCTTCTTCTACCTGGGGTTAGTAATACCAACATTGTCTGGAGGCAATGGGGCGCAAAGATACGTTCAACATTTCAGCAGAGTCCGTACGACTTAGCAGATATTGCTGAAAATCTTCACCTGCTGCCCTGAGCCTCGGGGCCCTCCTGACTCCAAGCCTTTGCCAACTGAGCCTCAGGCCAGTCCCATCCAACAGGAGTCTGAGATGTGGATAGCAGATGCCAAGTAGTGGCAAGGAGACATCCACTATAGATCCTTCCCTCAGGCAGGGCCCCAGGTGCAACAGCCCTGTTCTCCCTTGCAGTCACCCCAGGCAGAGCCCACGGGACTGAGGGCTGAACAGTCAGGAGACATGCTTTCCTACATGGCCAGCTTCCCTCACTCTGGTGAGCACACATGCCCTATAGAAAATTTAAAAGAACCATGCAGGGCCAGGAGGAGGTATTGTAGTTAAGGCACTGGACTTCTACATGGTTGACCATGGTTCGAGTCCCAGACCTGGCAGCTTGGAATCACAATGGGCATGTGTACATGTGTGCCCAAAATCCCAGGAAGAAAGTAGAGAAGGTATTATGGCTACGGCATGGCCATCACCCCCAAGGGGAACGGGGAGGATTTCTCACTTTCCCTCTCACTGTCTCTGTCTGTCTCCAATAGCAAAAAACCTAAAAACAAAAAACAAAACAAAACAAAACAGAAAAACTACTCACACACCCACATTTGGGGCCACTTGTGACTATATTGGGTCGTTGGGAAAGTAAGGATGCATTTTTGCATAGAAATACGGCATGACTTTCCAGATGACCTAAGAGATGCTGGGAACATTTCGAGGGTCCCAGGCACTCCAGAAATTTTTTTTTTAAGAGGTTTTTGCTATAGGGCGCGTGCGCTTGCCAGACAGACAGAGACAGAGAGACAGAAAGCGAGAAATCACCCCCCAGGGGGGATGGCCACACCACAATCCCTTCTCCTCCATTCTCCTCTCGGGATCTTGGACACTCACGCACACGCACCCAGGTTAAGTTTAAGCCACCGGGTCTAGGACACAAACCGCGGTCAACTACGTGGGAGTCCAGCGACATAGCCATTACGCTAACTGCTGGTCCCTCCAGAAAGTTTTATGTTACGAGCATCTCTTTGTCCTAGACCCTCACTCAGCCTGCTGTGGCCTGAAGTGACAACATGGCATAATCACATGGCATCCTGGGCTTCCTGCTGTGAGCTCCTGGATCCAAGCTTAGCCAGCCTCTGTAGGTCCTGGGCTACCTGCAGACTCTCCAAGGGGCTCTCACCTGCGTGGCTCAGACTGAGGCACCCTGTCATGTATGTTTCCACCTCGAATCCCCCTGGATCCCAAGGACGGCATCGAGTGCTCCAAGCCTGTAAGTACTCACCTGAGCACATCTTCTGGGTGCTTCTGCTGCAGTTTCTTCCCCAAACCAAACCCAAAGAAGCACACAGCAAACATGGGGGTGACCCCAATGATAGGGGCAGCCATGCCCCGGTACAGCCCTGTGATGCCCTGCAAGGAATCACAGAAGTAGAAGCTGTTTACAGACATTGCCACCCTTCATACCACTTCCACCTGCAAGTAGTACATCCTTCAACCTGGGCTTCTTCCACTTCTTCACCAAGCAAGAAATGCTTTCAAAAGGAAGAAAACTAGGCCTGGTGGTTAGGGGAGCTAGATCCCATATAGCTGATTGTGCATTTAGAATCTGGGCCCCAGTGGCTTGAAAACATGCCAGGCCTTGGTGCATGCCCCAAATCCCAACAGGATGGAGAAATGAAGAAACAGTTCTCTAGGGACCAGCAGTTGGCGTAATGGCTATGTCACTGGACTCCCATGTAACCAACTGCGGTTCGAGTGCTGGACCTGGTGGCTTAAACTCATGCCGGGCGCATGTGCGTGCATGCCCATGATCCCAAGAGGAGAATGGAGGAGAAGGGATTGTGGTGTGGCCATCCCCCCAGGGGATGATTCCTCGCTTTCTGTTTTTCTGTCTCTCTTTCTGGTGAGCGCATGTGCCCGATAACAAAAACCTCTCCAAAAAAAAGAAAAAGAAACAATTCTCTCTGTCTGGGGTGAGTACACATGCCTCTGAGAAATTAGAAAAATTTTTAAAAAGAAGAAACATAGCCAGCCCATGGCCTGGTGGTTCAGGCAGCTGGATCCGACATAGCTGGCTATGCAATCTGAGTCCTGGATGTGGTGGCTTGAAGAACTTGCTGGGCATGTGAGCATGCGTCATCATTACCAAGTGTACTGATGATACAATGTACAATGGTATTGGTGGTAGCCAATAAGTAATTGGTTAATTAGATGGATAGGGATCCCAACCAAACAAGGGATTATAGCAAACCAAGGAAAAGGAAGACCTGTGACCTGAGAGATGAGGGGTCCAGTCCCAGGGATAGAAGCGGATTTCCAGGAGTGGTGCAGTGGACAGGGGATCAGGGAAGCAGTCTGTCTAGGTGGGAGTAGGAAGATAGAGGATTCCAAGAGGGTGTCTTCAAGAAAACAAAGGCAAAGAACACACACTGCGGCCTTGCTGTGGTGGCAACCGGGCTAAGGTGCGGTGCACTGCAGGCCGAGATCATATGGGGGCCCCTTCCTGGTGTGGCCTGAAGGCGGGGTGTGGTTACATGTGCCTGTAATTGCAGTGACTCAGGAGTGAACTCAAGGCTGGTCGGGACACTAAGCGGACCAGTGTGACAGGGCTGGGCATAGGGTACACACCTGCAATCATAGCTGGGAGGCCGGAGGAGGATGGTGGCATAGCAAGAACGTGTCTTAAAAAACAGGGCCAGCAGGTGGTGTGGTGGTTAAGGCACTGGATCCCACATGACTATCAGGTTTGAATTCTGGACACAGCAGTCAAAAAAAAAAACACACACACACACAAAAACCCCCCAAAAAACCCCAAAACAACGACAACAAAAAACCACTAGACATGTATACATGCGTGCCTAAAACCCTGAGAGGAGATGGAGGAGAAGGGATTGCGGTGTGGCCATCTCCCTGTGGTGGTGCTCACTCTCCCTCTCTCCCTGTTTCACCTACCCTATAGCAAATTACCTTTTTTTTCCCTAAGAATTTACTTGTTTAATTTTATTTCTTTATTATTTAATTTAGAGAGAGAAAGTGAAAAAGCAAGCTGCCAAGTTCGGGACGCAAACCATGGTTGGTCATGTGGGAGTCCAGCGCCTTAACCATCATGCCACCTGCTGCCCCTAGCAAATTACTTTAAAAAAAAAAAATGGGGAGAACCAGCAGATGGTGTAACAGTTACGTCGCTGGAATCCCACATAGTCGACCACAGATTGAGTCCTGGACCTGGTGGCTTAAAACTCAAGCTGGGCATGTGTGTGTGTGTGCGTGTGTGCGTGTGTGTGCCCAAAATTTCGAGGGGAGATTGGAGAAGGTATTGCTGCATGGCCATCCCCCTAGGGGGTTATTTCTTGCTTTCTGTCTCTTTGTCTCTCTGGCAAGCACACGTGCCCTATAGCAAAAACCTCTCT